GGACCCCTATTGGTGCTCCAAGATGACTCATGAGTCATGCCCAGCTCGGACCGCCGAGATCACCACCACTAGCGTTGACAGATGCTAAGTATGAGGGCCGAGGTGAACCTGGCCGAGGTCCGACCTACCGGGAAGCTCGGTAGGGGCCGATGTGAGCTACTGTCAGCGGCGTGATTATCGGGTGTAACCGTCGGTCCCGAGATTACCGGGTGTAACCGTCGCGAGATTAGCGGGACTACCACCCATAAGTAGAGGACCTCACTCCACGATCAGGTACGAGGATTTTCTGACCTCGAACTAAACTGGGAATCCGACCTATACTGACTTGATCGTCGGAGTGCTTACTTTTTTGTGCAGGTCCGCCCAAGTATTCAGATCGGTCCGGAGGCCGAGTTCGAGTTGCAATCTGAAATACACTGTTGTGCATATCCTTGCATAAACAACTAGTTTTTCTTAAATACAATTAAATTTGAAAAAACTAAATAAAATAATTTCCAAACCATCCTTTCCTGTTGGAAAATAATTTTTCAAATCCATCTTCTTAGTTCAGGAAGAACATTACTGGATTTTATCTACTAATTTTAAAAAATTAGGAAAAGAAGTTAGCTTTTAAATTTTATTTTTTCTAATCCTTCCCAATCTAGAAAATTTTGGAAAATAAATTTTTTTATCATCTTGAACCACTTAGTTCAAAAAATTAAAATTTCAAAGCTAAAAAACTGGTTCGGGACCATTCAAAAGGGAAAAAAAATTATTTAAAAAGATGATCGAAACATTTGAGGTCAACATTAAAAAAAATTATAATGTAATTAGAATGATAAATATGAAGTTTTAAAGAAAAAAAATTGAACATTTCAAAAAGCAAAAATTTTATTTTTATCTTTTCAAAAAACTGTTTTTTTTTTAAATTTAACAAAAAAACTGTTAAGTCACTATTCTTCTCGAAAAAATTAGAACATCCTAAGTTCTAACAAGAAAGAATTGAAATAAATTTTAAAAAATTCAGCAAAAAAAAAGGTAGAAAACTGGTAAAGGAGAGGAAGGAGGAAGAAGATGGGAGGGGTATAATTGTCAACACAAATTTGGTTATTTCGACAAATATGGAATATGATAAGGGCATTTAGCCTAATTACTCGAAAAACTTAAATTCAAGATTTGGGTCACATTTGTAAATACAAAAATATTTTGGGCCCAAATGGGAATTACCCTAACCTTGGTTGCATTCTTCTGTCGAGCTATAAAAGCTTCGGAGACCGCCGCCCTTTTCTTCCCCACGCATCTGCCCTAGCCAAGAACTCGGAATTCGGAGCTCAGAACTCAGAACTCAGAGCTCAGAGCTCAGAACCAGTGTGGCTGCCAATGAAGGAGGAAGAAGTGAATCGCTGTCAAATTCAAGAATGGTATCCGATATTCAAATCCTCATCCATCAAAACCCTAATTCACGAGCTTCCAGAATCGTTCGTTCACTATCTCCTCGACGACTCTGGGCCGTTCCTCCTTCCGGTTTCCATCTCAAACGAGGATGCTCTACCCAATAGAGTTGTTCATCCCGAGGAAGAAGAGGATTACCAGTTGAAAGAAGGATCTGACGACGAATCGGAGCAGTCCACTTCGCCTCCCTCCTTTCCGGAGCTTGAATCTGATGTTAAGCACTCGATTCGTAATCTTGGAGGTTCCGTCTTCCCTAAGTTGAACTGGAGCGCACCGAAGGACTCTGCGTGGATTAGCCCTACCGGGACCTTGAAGTGCTCTTCGTTCAGTGAGATTGCGCTCTTGTTTCGATCGTCCGATTCGCTTGTTCATGATCTGTGTCGCGCCTACGACTCCTGCGCCGATAAGACGTCGTCGAGGCCATCGAGATTCTTCCTCGCGCTTCGTAAATGGTACCCGTCCCTTCGACCGGAGATGGAATTTCGTTGCTTCGTGAGGAACCGGGACCTGGTTGGCATTTCCCAGCGCGAGGTCACGACGTTCTATCCTGCTTTAGTGGAGAAGAAAGAGAGTCTGCAAGCAATCATCCGAGAATTCTTCGTCGACCATGTGAGGTCAAGCTTCGAATCGGAGAATTACACGTTCGATGTGTATTTCACGAGAAATGAAACGGTTAAGATACTGGATTTCAATCCATGGGGCGCATTCACACTTCCATTGCTGTTCGATTGGGAGGAATTGGAGGAGCAAACCGATGAGGTTGAGTTCAGAATCGTTGAGAGCCGGAGGGCGGTGAGGCCAGGATTGAAGACTGCGGTTCCATTCGATTACTTGGATACCAGCCCTGGAAGTGGATGGGACCTGTTTTTGAGAAATGCTGATCAAGAATTGCAGCAGCAAACCAGAGACGATGGCTGATGAATCCTTGTTCTGTTCTTTATTTATGAATGAGTAGCTTTATAATTTTTCCAGAAATCGAGTTTTTGGTTAAATTCTGGAAATTTGTTAATTGCCCAAAATGGGAAATGATTGGATCATAGCTGAATTTCCTATTTAATTTCTGAAGTTTTCAATTTTTCATGCTGACAATTCTTTCGAACATACTCTGGAACCAAAGCCTTGCGAGGAGGCAGAGCAGACATAACAGTTCCATAAACAAGGATGACCAAATATACAACAATTCGGATTAGGGTTCTTATACCAAGCTAAGTACTGCCAACCCAGTAATAGTTTCAGGTCCAAACGTAATTCCAGAAATTTTAAGAAACAAAAGAATAAACAAAATTGAATGTAAAAAACAGTTGGGTTCGAATCAGTGTAGCCTTGTCAATTCCTCTACTCTTTTGCAGAGCTCTTCGGCCGAAACGCCCATGGCTCGAGAAATCTCTTCCATTTTACTGCGGTTGAGATCGAGGAACGACTCTATTAGATCTCCATCCAAGAAGTTTTTGGCTTCTGCAGTTCTCTTCTCATTGTTGAAAGACCTCCACTGCTCATGGCTAAGCCCCCCTACGCCCTTAATCACCTTCCTCAAGTTGGACTGGAGCTTCTCGAAGAACACATATTGCTCATGGGGAAGTGAAGCAATGACCCCGATAACGCCATTGACGGATCCAAAAATTACGGTTGGAATCTGTCCCACGTCGGAATCTGGCAATCGCATTACGAGGGAGCCATGTCGAAAACGGTTGACAAATTCACCGAGGTGGTATTCACCAACCACCTCTAGGCGGCTGCGCTCCTCATCAGTTGCTCCTTCGCTATTCTTTCGAACGGTGAAGAGATTGAAGTAGTTTTCGGCACCGAGGTAAATGTCATCGTCGAGAACTTCAACAGCGGACATCCAGTTTGCATTGTAGTCGCGGGCTCTCTCCTCAATGGCACCTTCCTCGTGCTGGTAAAAAAGTAACAACAATCAGCCATCAGTGTAACAAAAAGTCTTGAGCAAGTCGATTTTGGCCATCCAAAATTTCTATTTTTCTTTTCTTCACTCTCCCTCTTCCTCCCCCTTCCCCCCCTTTTGAGATGAGCAATACATTAATTATGAGATAGTGACTAACCTTATAGATTAACAGAGATATGGACTTCATCAAATCACCAACAACAATGAAATCTCCACGGGTTTGGACGTAAAGAGCGAGTATATGTCCATGGTGCCCACATTCGGATTGTAACTCGCGAGTACCATCATCTCGAAGTGTCCACTTATACAGTTGAATTTTCTGATTAATAGCAGCCAGCAGCTTCCCGTTGAAGGAATTCAAAGAATAAACAGATCCCTTAGTTTCCTTCTCAGCAATAAGCTGTAGCTTACCTTCCTCAACAACAAAAACTAATATCCGGCCCTACAGTTGATAACAGACACAAACAAGAGATTAGAATGAGGTAGGAATGTACTACTGTCAGGTTTTAAAATATCTAGTTTGGGCTAATACCTTGGTTGGCTCATTTTCTTCCGGCATAACATATGCAGTTCCAACACAGTAATATACATTACTATCGTCTGAGAAAGAGCAGCTAAGAATAGAACATCCATACTCATAAGTGTCAAGAGCATAAGTTGAGATGGACTCGAAAGTTTGGTCATCTAACAAGCGGATAAAATGCATTTCTGTGTCTTCTGTGCCTGATTGGTTATATCTTAAACTACAAATGGCAAATGTTCTGGACTGCTCTTGATGGCAGATACGGCGTGCATGCTCCCCAAGCGGGATAGAGCGGATATGAAGCTTTTGAATATCATCGATGGTGCCAATTGTAAGTTCTCCTTCTTTTGCAATCGCAAGGCTGACAACAAAACAAAGAATGATTGGGACAAAAGGCCATTAACTGACAAACCGAATATAAACAGAGGAAAGCAAGCCCACATGAAAGTACACAAGAGAGAGGAGGAGGTGATGAGTAAATGACACGTCCCATAGAAATTTTTTGATATGATGTCTCCTCCCAGGTATCAAGCACCAAATTATCATTTAAATGTTAATTGTTTAGGAAATGATAACCATTTATAAAACCCCACATTGACAATATCTAAAACTTAGGTAGCACTAATGACATTATCCCAATTGATCCACTTTCATGGACATGGCCAACCAACATGATTCTCAAACGAGCTTATTAATTGTTTAGAAATACTAACCATTTCTAAAACCAAACATTTACCATATCTGAGACTTAGGTAACACTAATAGCATTATTTCAATTGAAAAAAAAAAGGGCTAATTTGGAAATCTAACCTCCCCACTTACTAGAGCCCGAAGCATAATTTATGGTAATTCCAAATAACTATAGTGCTAACTTATTTCCCAAGTCCAACAGATCGAACTCATATACTAGAGCCCGAAGCATAATTTATCCAGCAAAGAAACAAAAACAAAAAGTACCTGTCTGGAAAAGCAGCAGAATTGAAAGGACACATATGGCTAACTTCCTTCAGGTTAACATTACTGTAAAGTAGTTTCTTGTTACTGCTATAAATGACTGTAGGTCTATCTGATGCAGCAAATACATGCGTAGCATTCTTGGACGAAAAAGTACGAAGTGTTATAGGTTGGGTTCCTAGAGAAACCTTTTTCCTGTCCATTAGCTCACCCGAATTTGTGTTCAATATAAAATTCAACAGATGACCATCTCCAAGGGCACACAACAAGTAAGATATCTGAAAGACAAAATCAAGTTCAATTAGCACGGGATAAAACATAAATAAAAAAAACTTCCATTTGGCTAAAAAGTACGCAACATAGAGATTCTGTAACAAGTATTTAAGAATAGATCATGAGCATGTCTCTTCCATTCCACAACCAACACATGACATGATGGCTATTTGATTTTAATAAAATTATTCATATTTCAGAACCAGATTTGACAAACCAAGGTAGAAACAAGGTAAGAGAGGAAGTACGCATACCCCTTCAAAAGTACAAAGAAGCACTGAGCGAGGTATTATCTCCCCTCCCAAATGTTCCTTAGTAATGAGATTCAGATCAGGTAGTGAAAATATTCTCACACTTATATCTGTCCACATCCCAACTGCAGCAAGCTGACTACAATTAGGATTGTCACCAATTGGGTTTATGTCAAGGCATGAAACCTCATGCTCCAACTGCGCATGATTTTTTTCGACCAAATTTCCATCAGAAATTTCTAAATAAACTAAATGACCACCGCCAGTTGCCAATAAAACCTGGTATTTAAGAGAACAAGGTATAGTTAGTCACCTTTCTTTAAATGACAAGACTTAATATTATAACACAATATTAAAAGATAGAAATATGCACAGGACATATCCAAATCGCCAAGTGAAGGGTATTCATAAATCACATTCGGAAGAATCTTCTTCAAAACATTTTCCATGGTTTAAAGACCCGCTGATTATTCAAAATCCTCCAAGGAAACCCATATTCAGTTTGATTTTCCATTTTGTAAATTTTAATAATTATTTTTTCCTTCAATAAGCATCCAAAGTGTAAGGCATAAACTGGGACGGACAATACCTTATTGGAGCAATACTTGGTATCCACCAAAATGCATTCAAACAGAAAAAGAAATAATTTAATTGAATTGGCAAAAATAAAGCACACCTGGGAGGCATTAGCAGTGGCAACATTGATAGAGTAGCCTGATGGTGCATTCCATTCATAGCGAAGTTCTCTAGTGGTAGAACTAACTAATCTTACAGAGCTTGAAGTAACCTGACATAGCATTTAATTAAAATTAGCAGGTATCTCAAGTTCAAACACCAGTGGTTGGGAAAAAATATCCAACATCTAAGACAACAAGATGATAGAAGATACAAAGCTGGATTCATCATTTTTCATATACCATTAAAATAGAGAAGAACTTCCAACCATGAGAAATATATCTAGGCCAGCATGTAAACAAAAGTGACAGACATAATCAGCCTCTTATTAGGTTTACGTATTCCATGTCAGCTGAAAGTTAAGAGGAAGGTTAGTTAATAAGCTGTTAGTAGTTGTATTGTATACCAATCATCAAGAGAACGAGACATCTCCCATTGCCCTGTAGTCTGTTAGCTGAGGAAGTTTGGCTGTCTGTTAGTTGGGGAAGCTTGGCTTATCAATTGACAGCTATACTTGCAAGTTTCGCTGAAGGAATAGTCATCGAGAGAACTATACTGATTTAGAGGGTGGGGCCTCTCACAAATGCCTCAGGTTAATTCAATAATGCAATACTTCTACCAAATATCACTTCACTAATCAAGAATCCCTATTTTAAATGCGTCAAGGACAAAGAATTTTGTTTCCCCATTTTGACTTTGCAGACAGACAAGAAATGCTCTTCTACCCCATCCGTCCCCATTCCAAAATTATAAAATATAAATTTTCTATTAATACCATGTCAGTTTTAATGTTTTAATTCATATAATTACATGAAAATGATAAAAATATATACTCTTTTAAAATAAAGTCACAAAAAAATATCATGACATTGAATTATAATCTAACTGTTTTTTCAGCTTGGTTAAAATTTTAATTTAAAATTTATAAATATTAATAGCAAAATTGCCTATGAGGAACGCTTCGAGGAATCCGTAATGCTGTCCCCACCTGATTTTATTAGGTGGGAAATGATTAAGACGGCAGTGCAGGGATTCTAACCTGCACCTATTAGGTGACAATGATTACATAAATCCATGCATAAGTCCTAAGCCAAAGGCCAGTGCTTTTTAATGAGGAAACTGCCAATTTCGTTAACATATTAGTTACTCACAGAAGAGAAATCTACCTGAACAAGTTGATTAAATAGCGCATCATGGCAAAATAATGTCTGCACTTGAGAGCTGAAACCTTCTATCTCCGTTTCCTCTAGTTCATCCTCAAGATTCATTGCCAAAATTCTAGTCTCACTAATAAAGCTTACAACGAGAAATGTGTCAAACGGATCATCAGTAGAAGATCTAAGTGACCACATTCCTTTTATTCCTTGAAGTTCCACAGATGCCTACAAAGGCCACGAATAATTATCAAATGCAAGCGTGTGGGCTGAATGAAGATTTATCACCCAATTAGAAAAGAAGAACTAAAAGAAATGGGCAAACCTGTTCATTAATTCCAATTCCGTTTCGAACTACACGCAGAGAACCATCCTTATAAGCTCCAGAGCATGTTACAACCTGGCCTTGGCCTTGCCTCTCAAGGTCTACCACACAAAAATCAACAATAGGCCCCAAATTGACATACCTCTCCAAGACTTCTACATATGATCCTTTTGCATCAGGTTGCACATTAAGCTTAACAAGCTGTATTTGCACCATTACAACAAATTGTGTTATTATCTATCCAACTACCCACATGAATTACCTGCTGCTGAAAATCTCATTTAAACTATTTACAACTGAGATAGATACTTCATATCAATCCCTATATGCATGCTCAGTCCGTGTTATAGATTCCTATCAAAATGACAGGTAGAACTGACATGTGCTGCAACATCCCACGTCAAAAAGTCAAAAATATATTTTAAAAAAAGTGATGAGGAGTCAAGATTTTAGAGCTAAACCTAAAAGAGTAACTTATTTATCAAATTTGCATTAAAAAAGTTGATAATTGATATTTATATCCACCAGACCTGTGAATCCCCATAGCTTGACCCAATATATACAAAAGCATTATCAAGATATGATATTGTAGAGGCAATGGATGTTTCCCCCAACAGCTCGATCTTAAGTCCAGTAACCCTACAAATAAGAGTAAATTGAAACATCAAAAAGATCCTAACAATAGAAACAAATCCAATTAATCATGTCACAAACAATGCCATGAAACTAGGAAGGACTAGTTACCGTTCTTTTTCATGAGTAATGACAAGTAGGTGAAGTAGACCAGCATGATCACCAAGCAAGTACCTTGAACCATCAGCATCAACCCTCCCATATGCTCTGGTGATGGACTACAAGTGAATTTTTTAAGAAATAAGGTCAAGGTCAAGAAAAAGTACCAAAACTGGAAGCTTCAAACTTCAGAAATTTAATATCAGAAATCTGAACTACGGATAATTATTAGCAATAGTATACAGGTCTAATAGGTATGGCTTTAAATGCTGTAGCACTGCAGTAAACAATTGTTTCTTCTCCAATAATGATGACACCACATAGTGGTGGGGGCACAGGTATTAGCACAGCAGCCCCATTGTCGAGATTGTTTTGAGACCATGGACCTTCAACAAAATCCTTATCCTTGAGAACAACCTCATATGTTTTAACATGCCTAGCATCTTTATTATCCTGAACAAAAAAATAAAGAGAACAGTGAACACCACATAGTTTTGCCAAGGTACATGAAGAACGGATGGAAGACGAGCATCATTTACCTTAAAAAAAGCCAATAAAACAAGAACCAGATTTTAACAATCATATTACAATTTTCAAGGCCAGATCAGTTAAGTAAAATTGCACAACCAACCATTAAGAAGAACATTGTACATTTGAAAATTCTCTGAAACTCCACAACTTATCTGTCATATTCTTTAGGGCATAAAAAATATATTTAATATAAACCAGCAGACACCATAAACAAACAAACATAGGTGGACACAAAGCAAATTTTCTGGTTCTCTTTTTTATTGTCCGTCACTGAAGTAACATTTTTCAAGTAAAAAGGATTCTGTTCGCTCAAATAAAGACAGAAACAATAGAAGTCCATAATCCTTAGGAGACTGTTTTTACAGATCCTATTGTTCCACAGCCACTATCATACTGGACACCTACTTCTGTTGTTTCTGTCATTGCTTGAGCAAACAGAACTGTTTTTACTTGAAGAATATTTTTACAGATCCTATTGGTCCACAGCCACTATCGTACCAGACATCTGTAGCTTGATTCTCTTGGTCTATTTTCGTATCATCAAGAACTGTTCTGCATTCTACCATATACTTAAATCCAACAAAGACATGAAAATCTTTCAGCCACTTTCATCCTAAACAACATAATATGCCTACTTATTGGATTTATGAACGCTTCAAGCATTTGTATAAATATGTCCATCCATTCACACATAATATCAGCTAATAGTGTGGTGTTATCTTCAATTATGGGTACACACTTCCGGAGGGAGGGGGAAGGAAAGAGAGAGAGCTGAATAGAAGGAAAATAGCACAAAGAAGCCGTGACTTCTGTAAAAAGGGAGACATGAAAGGAAAAATAGAGACCTGGTAAAGAACCACAATTGTAGGTCTTGAACAACCATAAAGAAACTTGATATCCAACACTTGAAGTTCCTCAAGCCTGAAACAATTGACCACAAAATAATAATAATAATAATAATAATAAATAACCAGTAGCCGGATGAATCGAGGCAACAAAATCCAATTATTTTTTAGTCAAAAGACTTTACTTCAACAGTAGAATTGAAAATAATCCACCATAACAAGATCATTCTGTTTCAGTCAGGCATAATTAGAAGTGCTCCATTTTTGTTTTCATCTTATTAGAACACTTAAGAAAACCAAATATTTGTTGATACTTACTGAATAAATGAAAACCTAAACAGCCCAGTTAAGTGTTTTCAACATTACACATTTTTACTCGGATACAAAACCATGCTAGGACTTCTTCCTCAAAAGTCAAGAACTATTCACAGGTACTCTAATGTCTTATAATCTATGATCTAAAAGCCTAACATAAAAAGGAAATAAAGGAGAATAAACATAACAAGTTATCATACAACTACAACTAGTAATTTCAGAAAATAAGAAATTGTTGCACAAAATAGGTATAAATGCGAAAAAAGAATAGCAAGAGAATAAACAACACTATAACTTTCATTTAAGGAGAAGTTCATTATGAACATAAGGACAATAATTTAAATTGAGTACCTAATATTAAATGCTTCTTTGAGCTGTCCTTTATTGTCAAAAGGAATAACCTGACAAAAGAACAGATGATTTTGCTCATCAACCAACGTGGTCAATGTAACAGATATTTAAAAGCTATAGTGTGGTCCAAACCTTGAACAAACCATCATATAAATGAAGTCCAATCAATCTACAGTCCGGGTCTATAATACCAATCTGCAGATAAAAGAAAGACCATAATAAAAACATGAAAGAAGATCTTCACTTGTACTGAACTATGTTTAAATAATAAATAATTTCCTTAGCAAAAGATATAGAATTAATCATAAAACCTCAATACACAGGAGAAAACAAAATGGGCAACAGTTTGAAATGAATCTTAAACAAGTGGTACCTGACCACTGTCAGTAGGACGACCAATACGATCTGAGACATCTCCCATTGCCCTGCCAGACATGCCAAAATAGTTTTGAGGACAGAATTCTTTTTTTATATATATATATATATATAATAAACCGAACTTTTCATTGAGAAAAATGAAAACAAAACAGAAATACAAGGGCATACAAAAACACAGCCCCGAAAACAAAACAAAATAGTTTTGAGGACAGAATTCTTACAAGTATATTACATATAAAACAATCCATGTTTAATAGATTTTATTGTGTAAGTAGAAAAGTAAAAATAATAATAGTTATTTAATGCATAATAAGTTAATAACCACGTTCTACATTCTTTGGGGATTCAACGATTAGGTTTACTGAATCTACTATTCAAAGAAGTCTTTTTGGTAGGATACAAATTTCCAATCTACTATGCAAAAAAAATCTAAATGATATTGAATAAACAGAGGTATAATGGTATGAGAATCTAAAACCAATTATCAGATACGGCTAGAACTCCAAGAACTTTTTCAGTCCCACTACACAAAATAAATGACATGTAAATAGGAAAGCAACATGTTCATTAGGTGCTTTTAAAACCCATAGTTTAATTTCCTGCATAAAACATGACCACCAAATATCCCATTCTGTAGATAGCAGTTTTTAGATTATAATTCTTTTAACATGATAAGTGGAAACCAAATGTCGCTACAAACCTACCAAAGTATCATGATAGTAGAATTCTTTCAACATTAGTAAAATAAACAGTAATGGTGCATACAAATATCTTTCTGAACCCAACAAAGTAAAGTAGCACAGATATCATACATGCTTTCAATCATCACAAAATAAACTTTAAACAATCTATGGAACCATTAAAAAAGCTGCATTCAAACAGTTCCCGTGAAGAAGAAATTGTTCCAATTTCTTAGATATCATAGGGAGCCACCAACTCGTAATGGTATAACTACTAACTATCATTTTATAACCAAATAAGTATAAGTAGTCAGAACTCTTCAAAGTCACATTATAAAACCAATAAAATTAAGTGTAAACTTGCAGACTCACATGAAAAGGAGATATAGAAAAAATCTGAAACTAAAGCACATAAACTATAATAAATTCAGTCACATTAAAGAGAGAATAACGGGAGAAAGAAGCCAACTGCTGAAGTATTCAAACCTTGTAATAAGCTCAGAACTCTCAGTATCCCACTGAAGAACACAGAACTTGTACCGCTCAGTCGCTATGAAAAGAAAATCTTGTGCTTCACCCTGGTTATTGCATGGAAAGAAAGTCAAAAAAATAAGGAGAAAGGGTATGTATTTATTATATATTGGTTGTTGGGACTTGGAAGAGATATAACTTACATGAGGCCGAAAAAGTTCAAGTGTTGCAATCCTCCCATATATTGGAACATCCAACATCGGCTGCAGGGAACATTCAATCATCACGATATATTGGGACATGGGTCATGTGACCAAACAGAGGTACAAAACTCCAAAATAATAACCATTCAGAGTTCTTCAGCCTATGACTTATGGTGCATAACCCAGAGAAAAGTTGATGACCCATTACTTTCTTTCACATGATCCTTTAATTCTTGTTCTCATATGAAAAACATGAAAAAATTTATACAGTATCAAAAAGTTAGAACCATTACTAACCAAAAGATGAAGCTGGCAGTATTATGGTTCAAAAGAGGCCATGATTCTTGATAAATTGATGTGTATATATAGATATATTTATTTCGATACTAACGTTTCAGTTGACAGGAATACCATACATTGTATCTATAATTTAAAATTAAAAAATAGCGATCCTATGTAATAAAGAAACCTCAAAAAGAACCATGTCTGTACTTAGCTTCCAGAATACATCTTATGATGCACAGTTATGTAGGTTACTTCTTTCAATTTACATAACCTAATTCAACTTCAAACTAAGATATATGAGCATTTCTGAAAATAAATCTCTCTAGAAATAAAAATCCCAAAACCAAAAAAAGAAAAAGAAAATCTGAAAGCCCTGAAAAGAAGAAATGCCCCCAGTTCCCCATGATTGCAATAAAAAAGAAAACGGATCAGAGCATGAGATGGAAGGGTGATACCTGCAGGCCTTGAGCAGTAAGCAAATGGATTTCAATACGGGTACATTTCCTGAAACCAAATTGAAATGTGAATTAATTCGTCGGCATTGCAAATCATTCTTTTACGGATCACAAGAAGCCGATTGAAAATAAGATAACTTGCTAAATATCTCGCTACACAACAATGAATAATATGACATGAACTCCGCAGCCAAAACCTGAAGCATCTGTAGTAGTTCTTCCATTAACATTGAATTATTAAGCCAATAGACTTCCATGGGGTAAAAGACATGATTCGAATTAGCTCGGTTTATCACCAATTTCCATATAATCCTAAAAACTGAAATAAAACCCTAGCTCCTCGTTCGAGTTTCAGCACAAGAGAACTCCTATAAATTCGAGCAACAGCAGACGAAAAAAAAATCGAACTTGAAACAGAAAGAGTAGCAGATTGAGGAATGAACATCGAAAGAGAACACATAATCCAATCCAAGCTCTACAAAAAGGAACCGGAAATGCGCGAATTAGAGACCATAGAAGTTCGATCACAGAGGCGGGGAAAAGGGGGGCATACGCTATAATGAGGTTGAGCTCCTGGGGGCCGGTGAAGTTGCCGACGCAGGAGTGAGTGACGTTGGTGGGCTTGTGAGCGGTGACGACATAGTTCCAGACGCTCATCTTCAACCTCTGGGGGCTGCGATTGCTCCGTCGGCAAAACCCTAGCCAAATCCTCGCCGCCGAACGTCGGTGTGGAGGTTTATTGGGTAATGGTAGTAATGAAATGGCACTGTATTCTGTGAGTCTCGCCGATAGTGGCTCTGCAGACGGCTCAGCCGAAGCCCATAGAAGCAACTAGCACGCATGAGATGAAAGGTTTCTGCCCAGGCCAAAAAAAAAAAAGCCAACAAATCTAGTCTAAGTTAAAATATTATTTTTACAAATAAAGGTAAACTTAGTTCCAATCATTTAAAATCAACTTAGTTCCAAAACAAATTTGAAATCATTTTCATTATTTAAAATTATAGAATTTGAAATCATGCACTGCCGCAAGTGTTATCGGGAGTGAATCGAATTTACAATCTTTTCGTTTGAGATACATGTCAATTACCATCGAACTATGCTCGTTTTGACATATTGCTACGTTGATTTAAAAATGCATTTTTTCAATTTTAAATTAATTATATGAGTGGCGCGAGTTTAAAAAGTCGAATCAAATTAACCAACCCATATTTTATCAAATAGGCAATTACAGGAATAGCCAAATTTAATAACACGTTTTAAAAAATGGCCAAACCTAATTTTGTAGGCCAAATGACATTTTCTTTTTAATACTGGAAAAAAATGTTAAGATAAATATAGCTTGTAACCAATTAGGTACCTAGGTATAATTTTAGGGATTTAAGATTTTTACAAATAGCAAAAACAATCGACCTTAACAATAGAGATTCAACTGTATTTAATAAAAAGTAAATGAAATTTAAAAAATTATCATAAATCTAATTTAAAATTTCTAATTAGAATTTGAAGGTAGATTTTAAAAAAATTGATAAGGTAGGTTGAGGTATATTTTGAAATTTACCCATTTAAAATAGAAGATTTATAAATAAGAAGTAAATATTTTTTTAAATAAAAAAATTTTTAACAGTATCCTGCCTCCGCCCAACCTTACCTCCATCTTCATTTGCAGAACATCCACCACCCAACAATCCAAGCCACTCTCCATCTACGTCGGACGCTACCGAACGCCGAACATCAACCCTCACTGCTTCACGCAGCTGTGCCCCCTCCTGTCGCCACGTCGTCCACCCCTTGTTCCTTCACATCGAACGCAATTGTCGCCGCATCGCCCATCCCGCCGCTTCATCGCCCACATCGCTGCTGCTTCGCCCAACCTGCAGCCACGCTGCCGCACCGCCGCCCCTCGTTCCTTCATGCCTAACGCAGTTGCCCATAATCCAACGTTCACTTGCTCCATCCAAACCAGATTCGACCCTCCCGCCACATACTAAAATCGGTCATCGTTGCACATTACTCCGACTGTTTGAGGGAGGTAGAATCTTTGTACTGATTTTGTCTATAAAGCTTAATTTAAAAAGATATTTTTTGTCTTCCTAAATTTCAAGTGTATTTTAAAAAAATATATTAATATGAGACCTACTGGTGTTAATAACCAAATTTCATGAGCATATGTGTTTATCTCTAACAAACATATTATATTTAAGTAAATTAAAAACTAAATAAAATATATAGATTGTTAAAGTTAGAGGAGGAATAACTCGATTAAAAGGTTGCTGGAATAACAATGCGTCAACTTAGACAGATATAGATGCAACAGTTTATATATGGCTTGTTTGTTTTTTAAAAAATCATCCCATAGATGTTTTATTTTTATATGTACATATTGAATCATCAAATACCCAATGAGAGACTCCAATGTTGAAGGAGACCAGAAAAAAGAGGGGTGAGAGAAACTTAATCGAAGGTAAAACACAACAGACTAAACTTGACCATAAAAGGATTTTGGATTGTAAGGAATCTACCAAAAAGATAAGAACTCAATGTATGTTGTGTTGAATAGTAATATTTAAGAATTTATATTTACTAAGCTTTCGTATTTTGTTCATAAATTGATATATACATCTGTTGATTTTCATGTTTTATTAATTGTTGAATGATTAGTACATACATATAAAGACGTTTTTTTAATTATTGGAATATACATGTACTGGTTTTATATTTATGATATTTTAGTTGTACAATAATAAATAAATGTATTCAGTTATTACTTTTTGGTTATTTTTTAAATTGATATATACATCTATTAACTTTCGTGTTTTTGTTAATTGTTGAATTATTAGTATATACATATATAGAATTTTAATTTTGATGATTGAGCTGCATGGTGATATATATGTGATTTGTATTCTAATTTTGGTTTTCATCAACTGGTATATACAATTACTGACTTTATGGTTTTGATAATTCTTTTAATATAAGGATGATACAAAATCTGATGAAGATAATCAAATGGTGAGATGGAGACCGTAGAACACTGGTAATAGTTTAAATTAACTGAATTTCACAATAAAAGAATTAAAATAATTAACCTTAAATGTAGGGAAACAAAATTTGAATGGAACCAAGTTTGTTGAGTTGTTAAAATAGTTATAAATTCCAAAAAGCATAGGGAGAGTAAAAACTAAAAAAAATGTAAAATTTTAAATATATTCTTTAACCATTTTTACAAAATTATAAATAAATGAACAGAGTAGCCAAATTTAACCACTTACTTAAATTTCCCAATAAAATAAAAAAGAAAAAAAAAGATCTAAACTCTTAGTTAAGGATTTGTACTAAGCCCGACCCAACTCGACTAAAAATTGTTAGGTTTGGGCATGTGTTTTTTTAGGGTCCAGCCCCATGGGGTCTAATGAATAATTAAAGGCCCATTCGGTATATGATGTCTTCTTCTTCCTTTTTCTTTTTTTTTTTTTTTTTATAACTTGGGCTTTTGCCCTTTCTTTAGAAAGGAAAAAAATTAATGTAATTAAAAAAAAAGGCAATTTTGAAACTAATAACAAAAGTAGGTTGATGATGGTGGAGATTAGATACCATTTGCACAAATTCTAGGCATTCTTAGGGGTGTTCAAAAAATCCGATAATCTGATGAACCCGACAAATCCGGTTTTGGTTGTGTTATAATTTTCCAACCCGATCAGGTTGGATTGGGTATTTGGTTCAACCTTAAAAAAATTGGGACAACTCAACTCAACTCGAATTTATGCATATATGTATATTTTTTAATTATATATATATATATAAATTTCCGCCATCTATTTAGTTTTAATTCTTACTCTCTGTCGACGCTGTGATAATTAAAAGAAAAAACCCGACAACCCAACCCTATTGGATTGGGTTGACCATCTAATTCAAACCCAACATTTCATATATATGGTCGATTCAAAATAAAATTCGAGTGGGTCCCAAAATCCCTCCCAACTTGACCGAACCAGTGAATACCTCCCCAAGTATCTGCACCATTTTATTACATTCGTGGACATTATTCATGCCACTTGGAGATGATGTATGCTTATATTTTTATTTTATTTTATTTGTCTCTTACATTTCTCCTTTTCTCCCCCTCGTGCCCTTTTCTGTGTTGTTTTTTTCCATTTGGTTGATATGTACTTAAAAAGTTTACAAGAGGCCAACTTTCAATATTTATATCTATAACCTAGCATGCATTTGTACTCTAAAAAGATCATTGATATATCTCTTAACTTTCAAATTTATATATTTAATATGTCAATTTCATTAAATCATTTAGTTTAACATATATTATTGACCTATCATGTTAATCATATTGTTTTAAAATACATTGACACGTTAATTTAAAAAAAAATGTTCATCTATTAGACATAAAAATAAAAGTTTAACCACTTATTAAAAAGGTTTTAAAATTGGTAACTTATTAAAATTTGATACAAATCTTAAAACTTCATGAATCTATTGTCTCAAGGGAAAAAAAAAAACTTCATCAATCTATTAAATACAACTAGGTTTTTTCTTCTTTTGTATGAGTCCAGCAATTACATGGCAACGCTTGTATCATCAAGGTTGAGATGGAAAAATATGTCTTATCCATTAAACCTATGCTCAAATTGGGTATCCAGCAAAAATAATTAAATGATAAAACTTATGTGCTAATCGACAAGTTTCTTACCTTCACGTGGCCCTATAATAAAATGACAAAGGGTGATTATTCTTTTTTTTTTAATTATTTTTATTAAAATACATATTCTCATGAAATTTTATTTTATTTTTTTAAATTATAGGGTCACGTGAGGATAAGTAGCACAATGCTCTATGCGAAGCTTTTCCCTAAAAAATTGACAACTATTTATTTTATTTTCTCTCTTCCTTTATCTTCCTACTTACGATCATTAAAAACAGATAAATACCTCATTTTTATGATATTTACCGTTAATTTCTGTCATTAGAGAGAAATAAATTAATGACCATAATTAAAATGAACTATAGTATGTAGATTATTTTTCTCAAGTGTGTAGATATAATATATGTGTATATATATTTTGAGAATGTGTGTGAACTGTATGTATATAGGAAAATTTGAAGGTGGAAAAAGTTGGTAAAAAGTGGAAAGATGCAGTTTGAGATTGGGTGGACAAAAGACGAGAAAAAATCAGCACACCAGAAAAACATCTGTCAAATTCCTTTTGCTCTAGCCCTAACCTCCTCCTTCCTTCTCCACCTCAGAGCTTCAGATTTTTTCTCCACCAAACCCTAGCTCCCTCTGTCATCTCCTAATTCTGAATTCCGATTCCCAAATTCCAATTCAATTCCCCAATACTGAATCAATCTTCATCCCATCCCCAATTCCAATTCCAATTCCCCCTCGCTTTCTCCGCCCTGCTCCTTCATTTCCCCAATTCCTCCATGCAAATTCTCTCCGCACACAATTCATCGTCAACATGTCTTTTAGCCGCTC